CACCAGAAAAACCAAGAAAAAAGACAAGGTCCCAAAAAAAATGAAAAAAACGAATTGAAATCTGAAGCAATACCTGACAAGTGATGGTCGAATTAGGTTTGATTTTGGCGTTTCCGTAAGGGATGAGCTTTAGATCGGTGATGGAAATGAGGTCGGAATCGAAGAGCTTGTACAGGTAGTTGACGATGAGGTTGGAACAGTACGGACATAGAGTTTCGTAATAGAGAGCGAGCGTCACTTTGTCGCCGCTGCTACCGGCGGCGGCAGCAGGAGAGAAAGATGAAGATGAGGAGATGATGATAGATATAATCAAGAGCAACCGAAGGGTATCCATGGCCCAGATTTGGAGCTCTGTTTTTGTTTGTTACCCTGTATCTCGAATTTTTTATATTGACCGAGTATTTATCTTCCACTAATTAAATTAAAAATAAAAAAAGCTCCGGTGTCAAAAGATTTTGGAATATGACTTGTATGTTTTTTTTTTCTTTCTTTCTTTAATTTGCGTGCTTGTCTTGTGTAACTCACTTAGTACTTGTTTGAGATCTATAATTATATAAAAAGAATAACCTTTTTACAAATTTAAAAATTTTTTCGCGCCAAAATTATTAAATATATCTATATATAGTAATTATTGGATAAATCTGAATAAGCAAAAAAATCTGCTCATTAATTGTGTAAATATTTGTTTCTCTTTTTCCTGTTTCTTAGTTTATCGTTTTAACAATAAATATTTATTTTTCATTTTTCTATTTTTAGTATAAATCTACACGAGCTTATCTCTTCTGTTACAAAATCTCATTGCATACGATCTTAGATGTTTAAAACACTACAAGAATAATCATTTTTAGTGACGATAATTTTTGTCGCGTCACAAAAAATACCGTCACAATAAGAGGTATTATTGTGACGACATTCGAACATATAGCGACAATATCAGTACATTTTAGCGACGGTATTTTTTCTGACGACATAGCGACAAAAATTATCGTCACTAAAAATGATTATTCTTGTAGTGAAAAATCTCATCTCTTATCTATACAGATTTGAAAAAATAAAATAAAATAGAAATCAATTCATAATTACTACTAGAAATCCATTATCTTTAAAAAGAAAAAATAAAATAAAATAGAAACTAATTCATAATTACTACTAGAAATCAATTATCTACTTTAAGAAGCTAATTTTCATCGGTCTAATTACTAATATTTTTACAAATATTCTAAGCTAACCATACAAAAAGTATAATAATAATTTTGAAATGGTGTGTAATCAAATTTTTTTATATTCTCTTATACAAAATCATTTTACATTGTTTGACCCCGAATCTTTAATTTATAATTATTAAGTATTGTTTATCCTCCTCTTTTATTTATAATTATTTTTTTTCTTCCTCTTTTTAAATACGATCAATAGTAGTTTTCACTTCCGCCATTGATTCAAACTCGAGGTCTATTTATAATATTGTTAATTTAATATTGTCCCCGTGCATCGCACGGGGTACACACTAGTTAGTTTTTATTAGGGTTGGCATTTTTGGACTGAAAACTGAAAATCGAACTGAATCGATGAAAAAAAAGATCGAATTGAACCGACTCACTTAAAATGGTAACGAATTATCGGTTATCGATATGTTATCTGTGGATTAATTTTATGGTTTGTATATTTCTATTAATCACTGTATAAGTACAATAACTAAAATTTGATTAGTATTAATTTCATGCATGCTCATCTCACCCATTAACAAAAAAAAAAAAAAAAAAAAAAAAAAAAAAAAAAAAAAAAAAAAAAAAAAAAAAAAAAAAAAAAAAAAAAAAAAAAAAAAAAAAAAAAAAAAAAAAAAAAAAAAAAAAAAAAAAAAAAAAAAAAAAAAAAAAAAAAAAAAAAAAAAAAAAAAAAAAAAAAAAAAAAAAAAAAAAAAAAAAAAAAAAAAAAAAAAAAAAAAAAAAAAAAAAAAAAAAAAAAAAAAAAAAAAAAAAAAAAAAAAAAAAAAAAAAAAAAAAAAAAAAAAAAAAAAAAAAAAAAAAAAAAAAAAAAAAAAAAAAAAAAAAAAAAAAAAAAAAAAAAAAAAAAAAAAAAAAAAAAAAAAAAAAAAAAAAAAAAAAAAAAAAAAAAAAAAAAAAAAAAAAAAAAAAAAAAAAAAAAAAAAAAAAAAAAAAAAAAAAAAAAAAAAAAAAAAAAAAAAAAAAAAAAAACAAAATCGGCCTTCTCATTTATTATTGGTAAATTTCGATTTTTCTGGTAGGAAACCGTTACGAACCGTATGTAATCGGTTTAGCCTTATCGGTTCGGTAACCGAACCGATACCAGCCTTAGTTTTTATGTCTGAAATGCAACTTTGGTTACAAATTGCAAAGCCACCAATTTAGGTTCCACAAGAGTGATATACAATATTTTAAGTTATGTAATTTACTATTTTGTTGTTTGCAATAAAACTTTAAATTATAAGATTTAAATTGTTAAAAAAATTATCCCAAAGATATAAATTGAGAATTTTATTGCAATTTCAATTTTTGAGGACTAAAATTGTTGTAAAATATTATATTACAAGTTTTAAAATATTATATGTCACTTCAGTGAGCCTAAATTACTATATTTATAATTTAGCAAGATCAAAATTGCATTTTAGCCTTTTGTTATTAATATTTCTTAAAATAAAAAGAAAAAAGAAAATAAAAAAGCCAGAGGCAGTTGGAAAAAATATTAATAATCACTTCGGATCGAACAGAATTATTACTTTGGGGTGTGATGTATATTAGTATATAGATTGGTTGGTTTTTGGTTGTTGTTTTTTTTTTAAAAAAAAAATTATAGTTAATTTTGAAAAAGTGGATAGATTTTTGTGCGATTTTGAGTTTGTGTTAAAATAATATTTAAAATAATATCCAATCACCCCCTTCATGTTCCTAGACTAATAAGTATGTGGGAATATTCATTGTGTTATGTGTGTCCATGGGCCATGGCTACCAGGCAGCCAACATGGGCATTACTAACCACACATTATTTAAGCGACATTAGCCGTAAAAATGAGTGACACATAAACAAACCTGAATTCAATCTCCATGTTCAGATTTTATTCAGTTGTACGTTAAGAAAGGAGCATCTATACATTCAATAAACGTGCAGTTCAATTATTTTTAATAAATAAATAAGAATGTGAGTTGGACTTTGATTCGCATAAACACGGTTCGTTTTATTTAATAAACTTTAAACTCTAGACTAAAATTCAAAATTCAAATCAAGTTAATCGCGAATACATTGACTTGACTTGTTCGATGTCTCAACTTGATTAATTGTTCGAATTTGGCTATTTAAATATAGAAGCTAGACAAACAAAAATTTTCACAAAGTCAAATAGAACTATTTTTAACGGACAACTCGTTTTAAGTAACAATACATTTTACAACCCTAACAATACATTTTACAGCCAAGAATGAAAGAAAAAAAAAAGGCTTAAGGACACGGAGACAACATTTGTTGTATATTTTCCACTTCTGTGTATTAAAAAAGTTAATGCCATTTTGATCTTCCCAAACTTAATTAATTCCAACAATAACAACACACGACCAGCTCATGCTCTTAACTCATTTTCTCTCTCTAATAAATGCACCAAATAATTACCTTCCAAATTTAAATTTATATATAGTTTATTTTAAATTTATTTTGACGAACCAGTTTTTTTACCATAATTTATATTTTAGATTATTTTCAATTTATTATAGGTTTATAAACCATTACAATTTACAAGAATACAGATTATAAATTTAAGTTTATATATAGTTTATTTTCACTTTATTATACGAGAAAAAAACCAGTTTATTAGATAAGAATAAAATATATAAGGTTTATTTTCAGTATATTATAGTTATAAAATTAATACTTATATACACACAAAATGTAAATTTATATATATTTTATTTTCAGAATATAGATTATTGATAAACATAATGAAATCATAGATAAACTTCAATTAACACTTAAAAAAATACTTAACCAAAAAAAACTTCTAGATATTATTCAAGCTCTCAGCTTCCATAGATAAACATCAAATTAACACTCAAAAAACTATAATTTTTTTTTCAAAAATTAATACACGTAATGACCAATTAACACTCAAAAATCTACTTTATAAAAATTATTCAAGCTCTCATCTTAAAAAAATCATAGATAAACATCAAATGAAACATCCAACTAACTCAAAAAAAACTACTTTAATTTTTTTTTTCTAAAAATTAACACACTTAAATTAGAAAAAATGAGAATCGGAGCCATCGAAAAAATACGAAATGCAGCTCATCACTTTTTGACCTTCGAATCTCCATTTTCACCTCTCTTCTCCTCGACGCTTGTTTTCTCCTCGTTGATAAACTAAGCCATTTTTCAACAAGAAATCTCATTCCAGAGTTCCATTAGTAAATTTCCACAATGCACATATTCTCTTCAATCCCAATTTCCAATTCTAATAATATTAAAAGCTCTCATTCCCTTTTCAAGACATGAAAAATTCTTCAGTGTAAAAGAAAAACGCTTCATTCGGTAAACTAGCAAGAACTGACCTCAAAATTCCCCATTACCCAAAGCCATCGAGTTATTGTCTTCCTCCACCGGAAAGTCCTCCATCACTTCCATCTCCTCGTCCACAATCTCCAGCAAAGCAATCATCGCTCGATCCCGTGAACCACTAGCCACTCGCTTTCGTACTGGGAAAGTGACTTCGACTCCATTCACCATCACTGTATCAACTTCATCCTTGTTAATCTCCAAGCTCAATTAATTTTATGGCTCTACAATTACTGAAGACAATAAGCAGTTTCATGAACAACAGAAAGCACATAACACACAAAAATCCACCTTAATTAACACAAAATAACTCTACAATTACAAAATTCTACCAACAAATTTCATGAACACTTAATTTCCTGAAAAAGAAAATAGTACGAAAATTGAAAATAATTGACAGGATAAAGTTTACCTAAGATGATAACAAGCTATCGGTGATCAGTCGATTGGAGGAAAATAACGAGTAGCCTTTCGATTCCAAAACTCCAGGCGCGTCCCCAAATCTAGAGGATGATTCCAGCTTCAGGCACTGAGAATCGGATCTAGGGTTCAGGTTGGCCGGATCTGCATACGCTATGTTGAAATTTAGGTTGAAGAAACCGTCAATTGCGTAGACGAAGACAAATCCGTCGTCGAAAATGGGGGTATCAGAGACTCCGACATTGTTGATGGATATTTGTTCGGGGTGGCCAGAGGTCACGACGAGGTGGCTGGCGGGGGAGAGGAACGGGACTCTGGAGGCGAAAGGCAGGGAGAGGAGGGATGACGGGGAGAGAGAGAGGGGGGAGAAGTGAAGGAGGAGGTAGGCAAGAGACGGCGGACCGGAAGTGGAGAAGACGGAGTCCGGCGGAAAGAAGATGATGAAGGTGGTGATTGTCGGCGTCGATGATAGAGAAAGTGGAATTGAAATTTCACAATTTAGTATTTGAGACTTAAGGAAGTCTGATGTGTAATTTGTTTTTTTATCTCGTTAAATAAACAATATAGAAAGTTGAGCTCGTGCATAGGGTCATTTTCTCATAAAAAGAAAGAAAAATTCTAGACACGCTCCTAGTTAACCCGGAAGCGTCGACCAAATTGAAAGAGTATCGGATACTAGTGAGTTACTATACAACGTGGGCTTTGAAAATTTACCAAATCATTAAAGTACTTAGTGAGTTACTATACAACGTGGGCTTTGAAAATTTACGCAACGTGGACTTTGAAAATTTACCAAATCAATGAATCATCAAGTACTTAATATATTCAATCCTCCAACAGATGTTACATGTCTCACTGTGACAAAAAAGACAAACATGTAACACTTCAAGTACCCTATTACTTCAGATAGGGGAAAAATTATGTTTTACTATTTTAAATTTAAGGATTTTCAAATTTTATTCAATTTCGATACCTCGTGAATGTACAAACATTTTTCTGTTAATTTATTTTTGTTCTGTTGTACATAAAAAATCACATTTAGTTTGGACTGACCCATTAAATCAAGAAGTACAAAATTCAGGTCTATTATGAATGGAAAAATTACCTTTCTCACCACATGCATTTATAACCTATGCAGATGTGTAAGCATGTTTTTTTGGTTTGATTTGGTTAATTTTGAAAAATGTGGTATGGTAGTTGTTAGTGAGTATATTAAAATAATATTTAAAATAAAATAATTAAAATTGATTTGATGTAAAAGTAGAAGAGAGATGATTTGTAAAAATAGAAAACTCTCACCAGAAACTAGAATTAGGCACAGAATTCGACATTAGGACTATGATCAGAAAACACTACACAGAAAATAAATAAATAAATAAATAAATAAAACTCTACACAGGGAGTGATTCTTCAGTAGGAAATGAAATTAAGAATAAAGGTATCAACCGCAACCCAAGCTCTGAAACTGATGAACGTAAATGCCAATATGCGGATGACTTGGTAAACAGAGACCACTGAAGGCTGAATATGTGGTTACTCCATGCATCATTTTACATTGACCAGAGTTAAAAATGTCAGAATAAGTTATTGTGACACCCAAATTAAACACTCAAGACACAATATTCTCAGGAAAGGTACCCTTGGCTCCTCAAGCTTTCAACAGAGTCCTTAATAATTTGTTCCATGGACCTAAATTGCAAACCAAGGCTCATTAGCTTCTTCGATGCGTCCTTGCTCCTCAACAGTCCAGGTTGAGTATCCTTAGGTAACCTACACCATTCCATTAAAAGAGATGAAAAATTGCACTCGCCAAAATCTAGAATCTCGTCTACCAACATTCCCATGCTAAGTTTTCTATACATGCCACAAACACGATTCACACAACACCCAAGCATATATAATCATAAATATTATCATCCATATGCCCTCACGAATGTGTTCTTCCTTTTCATTTTTTCTTTTCTCTTTTTTGTTTGATTTTGAAATAGTTAATGAAACAATCATTTTGTTACTCGAAAAGTGAAAATATTTATGTTCCTAAATTATTTTTTAGGTTGGTAACTTTTACAATCTTATGATTCTATTTTACTGATTATCGTGTAGATTGGAGAACATGAAATAACTTCATATTTTAACTATACATGAATCTATTACCCTTTAGAGNGAATAGGAGTTGATAAATCATATAAATCCCTCTGACATGAGCTATTTTTATTTTACAATATGCACAAAGTGTGATTACTCAAATAAGTATTTGTATCAGGGGCACTTAAATTAATTATTAAGCATTTTACAATGGATTCAAGGAGTAGCAAAATCTAATTACCTAGGCACATTGTGTTCGGGGTAAATTTCGGCCACCTTTGCAGCAAAATCGCCAAAATGAGATATTGCCTCGACACACATGTGCCTTCCTGTTGCCGACTTATTCTCATACACCAATATGTGTGCAAGAGCCACATCTTCAACATGCACAGACCCCATAAAGAAGTCCTCATACACTTCTGTGCAGCCTAGCAAGAAATACAAAGCATTCAACATAAACACGTTGTTGTTTGTGTACATCTACTCAGATTATTTGTAAGTTCACATCTGCAGGGAAATGCTCATAAAGACGAATAAAACCACAAATGGTCAATGGAGTAAAATAAGAAGCTTCACAATGATGCATTCAATTCGTGATTAATTTTCATAGTTTTTCTAGTCTTTATACCTTAAGCAAAGACGTTTTTTAGCTCTATCTGTGGGAAAGATCCTGGGCCCTTGTGATCATAATATGATATTCAGAATCTCTTTGTAGAGTTGAACAATTTTCTATAATACTGGAACGATGCCTTTCTGGATATCGAATGATAGCAATTTCAGCAAGACGTGTAAAGTAGCAATAAGAAATGTACAGTTCAGAAAAAAAAAAAAAAGGCTAAAGGTAACATCTTGTTCACAAATACGGCAAGAAATGATCTTTCCCCAAGAAAAAAGAGAGGTTAAAACCTAAGGCACTGTAATGACTTTGTGAACACTTTGTAATTGTCCAGTTGGTCCTCAAAGGACAGAGTTTCACTAGAAAGCTAAAGTGTGGAGCATGATGATGCTAGAATGCAATTACCCTGTAATAGGCGGAGAATCATGAGCATGCTCGCGTTTATTGCTGGAGGGATAATGGGACCCATCACTGTCCCTGGATTCACCACAACAATGTCCAGCCCATTTTCCTCGGCATAATTCCAAGCAGCCTTTTCCGCAAGGGTTTTGGAAAGTGGATACCATACCTAACAGCAAAACAGAATCATTTAGAGCATTTTAGGATTTCATGTGGGTACCAAACCTGTAAGGACCTGCTACTTTTTACTTAGACAAGACAACTTATACATCAACGTCAAGCCAACATTTTCTAAGTTGTATTTAACAGAGAATTATGCCTGCGGTAACTATTGGTCCGTCAGAGGAATTAACATTGGATTCGCAAGCATTATTATATTTATACATCTTTGCCGTTTGCTGAAGCCTAATTTTCGATATCAACCATTTAGTGCCAAGGATTTTATAAAAATCAAACAATCATTGAGAGTGAGGGAGATACCCCCTTGCGCTTGCAGTATTCCTCATCAGTCCAGCAATCCTCATCCTTAACCTTATCAGCTGGCCAATTAGGGCTGGGAATAATAGCCGATACCGAGGATGTCACCACCACGCGCCGAACACCAGCTTCTTTTGCCGCCGTTAGGACATTAATGGTCCCTTTAATTGCCGGATCCAACAGCTCGCGCTGAAGAAAAATATTTACATATGAAAATAACACAGAGTAAACAACAAACAAATTCCACAACAGAAATCCCTTAAAATTGTTACTTTTAAAATATTAAAAAAATTATTGGGGCATTCTCACATCTGGGTCTTTAACTTGATCAACGATGCAGGGGGAAGCCACGTGGAAGACGCCGGTGGTACCGTCGACGGCAGCGAGTATGGAGTCGTAGTGGAGCAGATCCATTTGGAAGAGACGGAGGCGGGATGGAGCTCCGTCCATGGCCTCCAAGTGCTTCGTTTCTCGCTCATTCTCTGATACTCGGTTCAGATGCGAAAATCGCAAATCAAAAGTCAGAAACAAGCTACGTGAGAAGTCGAGCTACGAAATCTTAGAGGAGAGGATCGAGAATGAGAAGGAAAGGGATAGAACCGAGGTTCTTGACGGTGGCGTGGACGGTGTAGCCGCGGTCGAGGAGGAGCCGAACGAGCCATGAGCCAATGTAGCCGCTGCCGCCGGTCACACACACCACTTCTCCTTGTCGGGTTCCCATTTCTCAGATGAACCTTAATGTTAAAAATCTATATATATATAATTGCTAGCTAAACAATAAATTTTACCTAATAAATAAAACTTAATAAATTTTAAATCATTAATAAAACCTAATAAATAGAACATAATAAATTTTATTTATGTGGCATTAATACACCCAATCTCATTAATAAAAAAATATTTCATTATATTTTTTTGGGTTAATTAAGACAAAAACTATTATATTTTATGTTAATTGATTAATCAATTATATTTTTTATTGAATAATATAATAGTTAATATTAAAATTAGTAATTATATTTTATACTAAATAATATATGAAAGTTACATAAAATTATATTTTACACTAAAATCAATATTTTTTTATATGATGAAGATGTTGTTTATTAAAAATTTAATTTTTTTTATGTCATAGTAAAATTTCTTAAAATCACATAAGCAATTGTTATAATAAATGTAATATTTTTCAACTAATTAATTGATCATGATCACTCAAAATTATAAAAAGTATATATTTATTACATTTTATGCAATCAATATAGTGATTCGCATACAATCAAATCGTGTGTACTATTTATTTTAACCAATGATCAAATTTTAAAATATAATACTATTATATAATTTATAATTTTAATATTATATACATAAATATAACTTATAATACTATATGTCTGAAATATAATACAATTATATAACTTATAATTTTTATATTATATACATAAATATAACTTATAATATTTAATTTTATTTACATCTGTGCAAATGCACAGAGTCGAATACTAGTAGTAATAATTGTGGTGGAGAAAATAAGATAATGAACTAATGATTATGAGGTGGTTTACAGATTTTTTTATTCCACGTGCAAGTGGAAGTGTGCAGGGTGTAGGGAGAGTAATTAAAAATTATGATTTTTTAATATTACAAGGGTAAGGTCTGCGTACAACTGACCCCCTAGACCCCAATTTGTTGGGAATATACTGGGTATGTTATTGTTGTTGTTTAATATTACAATTTAAAAAATTTTGATTTATTAGTGAGGGCTTTGATGTTTTGTTCCATCTTACTTTGAAAATGGATTCAAATTTAAAAACGTTGATTCAAAGGCTTAGAAAGTGTTTTCTTAGATAAAAATACATACTTTGTTTGAACTCCACAATGAACACAATGTAAGTGTCGTCTTACACTTCATTGATTATCTTGAATTTGATGTTGGACGGGTGCTTGTTTGAGCTCATTGGTACTAGGATTCACATGAACTAGTACCTTATGCTCAGGGTACTAAGTTCAAATCCTGGGGAGGGCAAAAACTGGGAGAGAGTAACCCAGAAGGCCATGAGGAGATTAGCGGACCGGTGGGCCAGCCCGAGAGAGAGTGGACCCCACCGGGACGTTACAAAAAGGCGCCCAGTTTTTGCCCTCCCCAGGATTCGAACCCAGTACCCTGAGCATAAGGTACTAGTTCATGTGAATCCTGTTGGGATCTGTGAGGATCTCGTTATGTACATGTCACGAATTCAATAACAAACGTAAATCTATGCGCAGCGGATCTAAATGTTTGACGTAGAGAACTTACGGCTTAAAATTTATGTAGATCTGGTTGACCACGAACGGTTGACCGCAAATCACGTCTTGGGTTGCACATGCAAACTGATCAAAACGAAACTTCCAGCCTGGGAGCTTCCGGCGGCGCGTGAGGGCGCGTGAGGCGTCGGACGACTGCGATCTTGGCGGCGATGGAAAGCTCTCATCGAGACGGTCGTCTGGGTATGCTGTACGTCTCAATCGGACTTCCGATTAGTTCTGTAGGTTAAAATATATTTCGTCTCGGTTTACCTGCAGATCTTCTTCTACTGTATTACTCAATACACCCTTCTTCAACTTGTACCAGTGGAGCAACAAAAATAAGATAAAGCTCGAATGAGATCTAGAGAGAGAGAGAGGCGTTTATTCACGTGTGATTAGGAATTTTCTTCACTTCTCATGAGCTTAATGATGTATATATAGAGCTACAGTAGGGACCCTTAGGAGATTAAGAAAAGGGCTCATTAATTAATTAAACTAACAGTGGCTCAAGCTCACTCCTCTAATTAATTAAATAATATTAATGGGCCACCAACATTATATTATTGCACTCCCTTTTTCTAGCCCAAATTACATTTGAGACTCCAATATTAATTACTCGATTTACCTCCCCACGTTTAAGATATAATGTCTATTAATTAATTCAATGACTGACAATCAAGAATTAATTAATTTATTATTATTTCACCGAAGCTAGCACTCGTTCATCACATTCTTATTATGCCGGAACTTAATCCACCTGCAGGGTTTAGCATAACAATCCTTCATGAACTCACTCTGGGGACATCATCAAACTAACGCACATGGTGACCGTAAATATCCTAACAGCACATCCTATATATAATAATATTACCCAAAACAGTAGGAATATTGATCCAGTGAATTGAACCTCACCCAAGTGAATCAAAGTAATATATATTATATATATCTGCCTGTTTAATATCTTACGGGTTAAGAGAACGCAGTAATTAACCGAGGCCTAGTTCATTTACAACGATCAGTATAAAATGAACATCTCCTCTCTGGGACCTGTTCAAGACATAAATGTACTAGTGCAACTAATCAGTCAACACAAACTGTACAGTTGACACAACAACCGTTCGGATGGGGTGTTCATGTCCATCTAGATTGTGAACAACTATTCTTGTTCGCAAGTGACTGATAGAGTGATCTTCGGTTCGCCCGATGACGACCCACCCTATCTAAGTGCAGAACAACAGAACGTAGAACTTGTTTAAGCTAACATGGTTCTCTTCATAAAGGGTAAATGTGTAATAACATGCAAAGCCAAGCTTTCAGTATATAACACTAACAATCTCCCACTTATACGTAAAGCTTTCGCTTTTACAGTATAGTCCTATCAATTCGTTATTCTAAAAGACCTATGTCGATCCTATTGCCATGCTCATGACTCTCATTCCTTTCACGTGTTTGACGAAGACCTTCCCCGGTAAACTCTTCGTGAAAGGATCAGTTCGGTTGTCCTCTGACGCAATCTTGGCAACATCAACGTCTCCTCTACCAACGATATCCCGAATCAGATGGTATTTGCGCTCTATGTGTTTGCTTGCCCTGTGGGCTCGAGGTTCTTTTGAGTTCGCTACTGCTCCACTGTTATCACAGTACACGGTGATACCACGTGGCAAACTCGGTATAACCTCTAAGTCCACTAAGAAGTTCCTGAGCCAAACTGCCTCTTTCGCTGCCTCTGAGGCTGCTATGTACTCGGCTTCCATGGTGGAGTCTGCCACGCATTTCTGCTTAGCACTCCTCCATGAAATGGCTCCACTTCCCAAGGTAAACACATAACCTGAGGTTGACTTACTTTCATCCCTATCTGACTGGAAATCTGAATCACTGTAACCCAGAGGTAACAAGCTGCCTGCACGGTAAACTAACATGTACTCCTTAGTCCTTCTCAGGTACTTGAGTATATGCTTCACCGCAGACCAATGTTCCCGTCTCGGATTACTTTGATATCTAGCTACCATGCCAACGGCGTAGTTAATATCTGGCCTAGTGCACAACATTGCATACATGAGACTTCCTACTGCCGAAGCATAAGGAACTGTCTTCATCTCCTCTATATCCTTAGACGTCTTAAGAGACGTCTCCTTAGATAGAAGTATTCCATGTCTGAAAGGTAACATACCTTTCTTGGAATCCTGCATGCTGAATCTGGCCAAGATAGTATCTATGTATGAAGACTGGGATAAGCACAACATTATCTTCTTACGGTCTCTAATGAGCCTAATACCAAGAATGTGTCCTGCTTCACCTAAGTCCTTCATATCAAATTGCTTAGACAACCACACATTTACGTCTGACAACTCCTTCTTACTGTTTCCAATAAGCAGTATGTCATCTACGTAAAGCACAAGAAACACCACCACGCTCCCACTGATTTTCTTGTAAACACAGTGCTCATCCGGACATTGAGTGAACCCATACGACTGGATCACCTCATCAAAACGGATGTTCCAAGATCTCGAAGCTTGCTTCAGTCCATAAATAGACCGATTAAGCTTACACACTAGATGCTCACGACCTTCAGCAATGAATCCCTCTGGTTGTTGCATATAGATGATCGCATACGCATCATGTTTTTCTATAAATTATCATGTAATTCATTCAAATTTTCTTAACAAAGGTTCGAATTTACAAATGGATTTAGCACTCTCAAATATCCTTAAATATTATTCTTTTCTTCTGAAAAATATCATAAAAAGGATTTATCGATCTCGATTAGAAAGATTGAGGGTGCTAATGAATAATGGTATTCCAAATGATGTTCGATGGTTGATCGAAGCACAAGTTCGATTGTCTGGAGAGTTTCCAAATTCATATAAATATATGCCAGGTATGGGTAAGAGTACTTTTGCAAAGAAACAAAGAGCAAAAAGATTAGGTTGATGCTTCAAATGCACTCGATGGACTTGTGAACACGATGCAAATCTGTGGGGTACGTGTCCAAAAATCGAGAAGATAAAATAGCATTTATAAAGGATGGATTGAGTAAGGAGTCTCTGGATCAAACGATTCAACAGATTCTTGAGACACATCCTAGTGGGTATGTGCATCGTTAGCTTATGTCTTTATGGACTCAGTTCAAAAGTGAAGAAGAACGTTACAGTCTCGAAAATATGATTTCAAAAGATCAAGTTTGTAAAATTGGTCTTGTTAGTACGAAAAATCATACTAATACAGTTTAGTATTTACACTTGTAATTTTCTAGAAAAACTTATAGTTGCCGATAGATAAGAGTTATTTAAAACCCAACACCTTATCTGTCAGTTGCAGATGTCAGACGAAAACAGTAAATTATTTATCGTTTTGTAAAGCTTTCTATTTAAATAGCGAGTCGTTCATCATAATCGTATGCTTCAAAAAATTTTGAAAAATTTCAGTTTATCAATAAATAGATGTTTC